TTATGCCCTATGCCTTATTCCGATGATTTGCATTAGTTTCTTCTGTGAAATTGGTTGTTTTGATGTGTTTATTGTGAGTTTTGTAGGAAATCGTCCCTAGGAGTGAGTTGACGCTAAAAGGAGAAAAATATGGTGAAAATGAGTAAAGAAGATATAAATTTGGAATTAGCAACTTGCAAGTCAAGAAACTACCTATGCACAGAGGTTGACTTTACGGATTTACCTGTACGTGCTCAGGAAGAATTAGATAACGTGCCATATATCATTGGAAAGCTCTAGAAGTATAGTTTTCTAGAGGAAGTTACATCAGTTTTTGTACGAGTGGTTCAGGCTACAAACTGTGTGACTACGTTCTGGCACTCGCGCAGACATCGCGGAATTTTTGGCCTTTTTGGTTAGTTTTCCTAGGGTTTTCGGGAGTTTTAAGTTTCCTAATCCTTGTATGATTAGATAAGAGTCCTAGGGCCTATAAATACATCTTTTAGACTAGATTTTTTAGGAGAACACTAGCTAGCGTATTGTTCAATATCTCAAATCACCCAATTCACATACTGACTTTCTTAGCCATTCATAGCTTTCAAGATTTGCAGAAGGAGGCGTTCAACTACAGTGGATCTATCTAAGGATTTTTCTATCTGAATTCAAACTTTGTATTCTATTTTCATTAGTATATTGTTTGTTTCTAAGATGGCTTTGGGTAACTAAATTCTTTGCTAGGGATCTGATATAACCTAACATGATGATTCTATGTTATTAAGTTAATATCTTATTTTTAATCAATTCATGTTCTTTGTTTCATTCATTATTATAATTGTGATCTTAATACTTGTAATTGGCCATTTTAGGTATTTTGGATTGTCTAAGATAAGATTGGGTGAGGGGTTCATCCCTAATCTTATATGCACTATGAATGGATGAGTTGTTGTTAAAGCCGAGGTTCAAGCTAAGACACTTCTTGGTTCTTGATTGTTCTTTGAAAACTTAATGGGTTTCAAGGTTTTGGAGCTTGAGAATGGGTTTCAAATTGCATTCCTATGTTTAGTAAATGCATACTTGGGAATATAATTATGGACTCATGGGTATGGACTTCCCATATAGGGGGAATTTCATACCCCTGATAACTTTTCATTACTAATTACTACAGTAACCAAACATAAGAATGAGAGATAATTGCATTTCCTAGTCCTCATTTCTCAACGTTCCCAAATATATGAATGAACATCCTCCATTCCCATCTTGTGGGATTATAAATGGGAAGTTTATTCCCAAAAAGTTCAATTCGTGAACCAAACGGGCCCTTAGGTTGGTCACCTAAGGCCTCCAAAATGTAGGACCGCCACTGACGAAGTGGCTATGATGATTGCAGTAGCATGAATACCTAGAAGTGGTGGTGATGGTTGACGACGAAGTGCTTACCCATATTTCAACTTGGAGATGAATCTGGACTATGTGAGAGACAAGGGTGAGAAAGGAGTGAATTCATTTTTTTAATTTTTAAAGTAATGGGATTTTTTATTATTTGTGGACCAAATTGCCCCTACACAACTAGTTGAAGTTATAAAAATAAAAATAAAACAAAAATTGACAAAAATTGAGGATTGTCCTTAAATTGCTTCAAATTGAAACCACATGAACACAAATTATCAAATTGAAACAATAAGAACCTTAATGGTAAAATGATAAACCATAGGAATTAAAAAATAAAAATAAAAAGTGACTTTTTATCATAAATAAAAGACCTAAATTCCATTTGAAAATTGCTTGAGAAGCTTGTTTCTCTCATCTGAACATTGACCATGTTTGAAAAGTTTGGGAAAAGGTACTCAATCTTGGATTGGAAGGTACTCAATCTTGGTCGAGATGAGTAGGACATTTAATAAAAATGAATATGACATAATATACTAGTTGAAATGTCATGGTATAATCCAAGTCATGTTACTAGAAGGATCCTTGAAGATTAAATAAAGAAAGATTTTTGATAACATGAATTATCAAAAAGTTATATTGCCGAGTGTTTAAAAATGGCAAGGAGATTAAATTAAGACATAGCTATGTGAAGTTATCAAGAATTTCATATATTTTAGAATTTGATTTTGTAAGTAAGTTAAACTTACGAAGGTTTTATGTGGAACATCAATGAGATGGTGTTAAAGTCCAATTTATTAAATCACCAATGGTGGAAACTCAACTCAACACTTGATGAAACATCATGTTCTTGAGTTCAATGAGCAAAGTACATCATATGTAGTGGTTGCAAGCACTAAATGTTTTAAGAAAAAGGAGAACACTATTAATATATTTTCCATCCAAGGTTAAAAGTGCTTGGTACCTATGTGATAAAGAAGAAGGTGAGTATTTACTTTTAGGGTAAACTACAGTAAACCCCCCAACCTAAAGGGTCATTTACGAGTCCATACCCGATTTTGGAGACATTTATGAGTACATACTCAACGTCACGGAAAACCTACAATTTGCTCCCTCCATTAGCGAGATCATCAGAAAATCCGTTATCTGCCTATTTGTGGGACCCATTTTTTAATGATTTGTGGAACATCAATTGACGTGGGATTCCACATGGACAAAAAATAATAAAAAATTTACTTTTTAAATTATTTTAAAAAATTAAACATATTAAATTTTAAATTTTAAAAAAATTAAAAACCCTACCCAGATTTTCTCTCTCTACCCGATCTCTTCCTCCTTCCTCCCAATTTCTTCCCCCCCAGATTTCTTCAATCCCAGATTTCTTCCCTCCACCCAAATTTCTTCCCCCACCCAAGCAGAAAACAAAACAATTTCGATTTTTTTGTTCACACCAGAAATCAAAACTTCGGAGTCTACAAACTCTCCCATGGCTGAAACTACGGAGAAGCCACCCAAGGATATTGAAAGTGATGACGAAGAAGAGCAAACGTTCAAAAGCCTTGGATTGGACGGTCGTCTTATCCGTGCCCTAAACAAGAAGAAAATTTCTTGTTCAGATCAAGCGAAGCCACATAAAGCTCCTCCTTTGATCGAGCGAAGCCTGAAATTGAGGCTTTTTAGTATTCTGCAACCTTAGGGTTTGGATTCAAATTCGAATTTGATCAATAAATTAACCAAGTACAAATTAGGTTTTTAAATCGATTTGAGTTTGGTGGGTTATTTTTGTGATTTTTTTTTGTAGGGGTTTTAAAAGCCTCAAGCGTAATTTCCGACGGCATGCCTCTTTGGCTTGTGATATCTCTTTTCATCATTTAAGAGCTTACATGTTTCTGAAAATTGAGTTAATCAATCTGCATCCTTCAATTTGTAGATTCCAATGCATGTGTTTGATTTTAATAACGAACTGGTTCCTGGATAATGAGACTTTGACGTGCTCTTCTCCCTCTTTAATTATTGTTTTCATGATTTTGGAGCCTCAGCGAAGTTCATGCGGTTGGCTGGGTGTGTGGCGTGGGTTCCTAGAGGAGGGTGGGTGTTGGATGTCGGCTCAAAGACTTTGGGGTGGTGTTAGGTTGGGGTGGGCTAAGAGATTCAGGTTGCTAGGTAGGGAGGGAGGGTGGGTCTGATGGTTTTTTTTTCCTAATGGGTTTTGGGGTGGGCGACGAGAGGGGTGGCTGAGAGGTGGGGTTGAGTCGGGAGGAAAAGAAGGGGTTGGCAACGAACGCACTCCTCGTGCAGCTTTTTTTTCTGGGTTTTCTGTTTTTGGTTTTTGGGAATTCATGGTGAAGGGAGGGAGGAGAAGATGGCAGACATGGGTTTGCAAATTTTCCCCTCCAATTCTTCATCATCATCTGAATTGGCACTGGATTTTTTGGGCGGTGGTTGGGTTGGTGGTTTTTGGGAGATGGCTGGGTGGTTCTTTCGGCGGCGACGGTAGAGTGGTAGCTGAGAGGTGGGGTTGAGTCGAGAGGGAGAAAGGCTTGGCTGGGTTGGAGAAGAGAGATGATATATATATATATATTAATGATTTTAATATGATTTTAAAATTATTTTTAACATTTATATAATTTTTTATTAATTTTTTGTCCACGTGGAACCCATGTCAATTAAAAAATGGGTCCCACAAATGCCACGTGTTTGTGCCTAATAAATCACGATCATAAACTGATTGAAGGGACTTCCTCTCAGTCCTAGCGCCTATCGTTTCGTTAAGCATTTCGCCTTCCTGAAAATAAAATAAAAGCTGCAAATGCAGAATCCTCTCGGCCTCGCGACCGCAGTTTTGAAGGCCGAAGCCGAAGGCCGTAAAAGACACGGCCGAAGAAGTTGTGGTTAAATCGCCACGTGGCATCAGGGTCCCACGCCCCATTTAATGAAGTAATGCCTCTGACTTTCGCAGCAAACCTACTAGTCGCAAGAAGCATTTAATGCACAAGGGAAGAAGGGAAGTGACTGAAGTCAGGATTTGGTGATGGAAATCAGGGTGGTTAGGCGCAAACATTCTCACAAGTAATCTTACGACTTGAGGTCAGATCACCAACCACCATATCAGGGCATTAAATGCGTTCACACTACCATGCTTCGTGATCCCAAATGCCGATTTGACTACCTACTTGCCCCGATCATGCTCCACCACGCAAGTCTTTTCAGCCTCGATTGTCCCTCCAGGACTTCTCCTATAAATACTAGGCCTAGGACTACATTCAAAGGGTTCAAACACCAAACCAAAAGCCTCCCACTGAGCAAATTATATTTTCCTGTAATGCACTTTCAATACCTTTACTTGCTTTCGTAGGAGTAATGATAGATTGTAAGGAAAATTCATTCATAAATATATCATACAACCCTTGATTTTCAAGGCGTTGGAGCACTATCTCTATTATCATCTCACTCACCCCATATATCATACGACCGTCGCTCTCTTAGCAACACGCCGGAGCACCACCTAAAACCCGCCACCAACACCACCACTAAAATGGCCTTGTAGCTCAAGTCGTGAACCTGACGGCCGAGATCAGTCCCTCTCTCGGCCACAATCGTTTGATTGAGAGTTGAACGCAAAACAGGCGCATTATTTAACCATCTTCTACCCGAACCTCATCACCATCTCGACGAACGGTAGACCGTGCTGGCACGCCCGCGCACAACCGCACCGCACCCAAAAGAAGGACGTCACGTGTTGACGCACATCCCTTCGGCCCTGAGCACCAGGCCGTGAGATTCGCAATAGCCAACACCATGTAGGCAGATAACGGATTTCCTAACGGACTCGCTAACGGAGGGGGAAAATTGTAGGTTTTCCGCGACATTGAGTATGTACTCCTAAATGTCCTCAAAATCGGGTATGAACTCGTAAATGACCCTATAGGTTGGAGGGTTTACTGTAGTTTACCCTAACTTTTAATAGACATGATTGAAGGTATTTATTTACAAGGGTACTACATGTTTACATATATGAGTGTAGAGGGTGGTGCCGCCTTCTATGCAACTTAGGACTTGTCACTAAAGCACTCATGAAAGTGGGTATATACACAAGGCCAATCCACGTGTCAGTCAATCAAGGGGATTAAAGAATTGTGTGTAAGATGTATCTGGTTAATCACAATAAAAATGCAAGTTCAAAGTTTATCTATTTAGTTACTTGATTAACTTTGATATGTTTCCACTAACCTAAGATTCAAGTCCACAAGACAACTTAGTTTATTCACAAAGTCTTTCAAGGAATTACTCAAGAAACTTTCTAAACGTGTTTTCAAAACCTTTTAAAAGGTATACTTAAGTGTTGTTTTTCATTTCTTTGGAAATGGTGGAGGATTGTTGGAAATTTTCAAACAAACAAAAAAGCGACTGGTCGTTTCAGGCAGGAAATTCTAGTTTTGGTCTCTGTATAAAACGACTGGTCGTCCGAAGAAAAAACGACCGGTCACCTCGTGTCTAGGGTGCGATTTTGAAGTACCTTTTGAGTGTTTCAATGTGTCTCTTGGTGCCTAAGTGTTTGGATTAGATATATGAACGTTAGAAACACTTCACATACACAATTCAAATATAAAGACACTATATTATATGAAGAGATGTGATCTCTTTGAAGTAGTACCTCTTGATTAAGAGGTGCAATCCAAGAGAAACATGGTTTCTAAATTAAGGGTTACACCAATCACTACTACATTTTACGCTTTGCGCGAATAAGAGGATTTCGTCACACAAAGTCACATTCAGTCGCACAAATTTCAACGCGACAAAAAATTCGTCGCGCACAATCCGTCGTGCAAAAAGCATGAAGAAAGACATTGTGCGACCAAGTTTCAGCATTGGTCGCGTAAAACGGAGTGACGGGGTTAACCATCGTTGCACCAAAGGCTTAGGGACGACACAGTTGTTCGTCGCACAAACCTTTGCGTGACAAAATCATATTCGTCGCAGGTATATTGGAGCGACGAAGAGTATTGCAAAACGAAATATTCATTCGTCGCGCAAAATGTTTTCGCGAGACGAATATCTTCGTCGTGCAAAATGTTTTCGCGAGACGAACATCTTTGTCACGCAAAATGTTTTCGCGAGACGAATATCTTCGTCGCGCAAGAATAATGTATGTCATTAAAATGTTGTTTTTAGTTTTTTTATTTTGTAAAATTGTGAATAAATTGCGCGCGACGAAAAACGTTTCAATTCAATGCAAATATTAATATATATTATTTAAAATTTTATATTACCTTTTTTTTATTTTGTAAAATGATTTTTTTTTTTTTTTTTTTTTTTTTTTTTTTTTGTAAAAAAATGAAATTACAATCCAAAAATGAATTGAAGAGAACAAAAAATTATATAAAATAAAATAAATATGTTACAAGAGAAATGTTTAAAATATAATTATAAAAATAAAAAACTAATCAAATAATGTTCCAAAATCTACTTGGTCGTCAGACATATGCAGCTCGGAGGTCTGGAGGTCCACAAGGGCAGTGGTCTGGAGGGCATGCTCGGGGTGGACGAGCTCAGAGGTCGCCGCATCAAATTGCGGGAAGGGAATGCCGGACCGCGCGAGGGACTGCAGAATCACCGACATCTGACCCTGAAGCGCAGCCACTTGTGTTGTCAAAGCAGTTACCTGACTGTTTGACTGCGCTAATGAACGGGGTCTAGGTTCCCTCCACCGGGCATTCCTCATCCCTCTACAATATGTCCCCGGCCTCCTCCCGAGAGTCTGATCCAATGTCTCCGTCAAGATCTGAAATTCAGCATCCTATAGAGGATCCACAGACTCGATCGAAGTCTCGAGAGAAAGTTGGGAGGCGGACTCCTGAAGAACCAACTGGCTCCTCTCCACCATCATTGTTTGTTTAACATAACATAAAATATAAATTAAAACATGCATATAATTGAATGCGTAACATAAGAATTAAAATTAAATAATACTTACATGAAGGAACTCGGCCAACTCATTCCCAGGTCGAACATAAACGTCACCAAAGACGTCGATCTCTGGGAATTTGGACCCCCCTAAATTGAACAAGAGAAGAAAAATATTAGTATGAAAAAAATAAATTAATAATAATGACATATTAAAAATTAAATATAAATTATTTTATTATTACCCGCCGCCATGCATCTATCCTATATGAGAAGGGCCTGGAACCAGAATTGTGGAGAAGAGTCTTCTTCTTCCTATTGCCCTTATTCACTTGAGTTATACAACAAATAAAACGTATTAGTTGAAATATAAAAAATTAAATAATAATGAAATATAAAAAATTAAATAAACATTAGTAAGAAATATGTAATAATTAAACAAATATTATTAAAAAATACCACATAATCGGGCGCCTGAAAATGAGCGCAGAGCCATGCGCAACCATCATCTCGCCCCTCAAGCTCCTTCGGGCAACCCTCCTGAAGAGCGACTTGCGGATCATCAAACGACTCAAAATGGTGGTGCAAGTCATTCTTCCACTGCTTGTACCTCTCAGCGAAGAGTCTGTTGACGTACGCCAATGACTCGTCGTCGAGGTCCTCTAAGTTGTAGTTTGTCTGCAATAAATTAATTACATACATTAAGTAAAGAAATATATAAAGTTTGAAAGGAAAATAATTAAAAGGTAGTATACATACCGACAACTGGCCGCGAACCTCCATCTTGATCTCGTCAAGCATGACCTTCCAAGACTTCCATTGCATTGGGCAATGGGTCCGAACGACGTGGCCAATGTCGTGGGCCAAGGAGCTATGCAACTCTGTCGTCGATGCAGCCCGATGGCTCTCGTCGTATCCGATGCTGATACGACTGTTGGTCACCAGGGTAACCTTCGCCGTCTTCAGCTGCCGACAGGACCCGCGGGTGTTCTTCTTGACTGCAAAGAAATATGACATTAATATTAAATAAATAACAAATTTAACTATAAAATTCACAATACAAAAATAATAAATAATAAAAAGAACTGTAGTTGAATGATATCTATACCTGGCTGTGACCTCGAAGCACCAATATCGTAGGTTGATGTGGTGTCGGTGGTGCTGGCTGGTCGGTGACGCCACCTAGTGCTAACTGGATGCGCCACTGATGAAGCTGATGACGCAGGCGCCTGGGACCCCTCAAGACCAACTGGCACATGGTCCATCAGTGCTGGAGCAATGGCAGCAGATGCCAGCTGAGCCGGGGACTCCGAACAAGGTGCAGTCGTCACAGACCTACCACGTCTAATCAAGTCTGACATCTGCACATACAATTTCATTAAGAATTTTAACTAATAAATTAAAAGCATAGCTTCACCTAGGGTTTGTGATTTCGGAGTATTCGGGCCTCCGATCCACGATCCGTCGAATCCTACATGATCCTAGAAATACAAGGTCCAACATACGTGAGTTTGAGTTCAATCCAACGGTCTGAACACATCAAACCTGAAAATCGCACAATAGGCGAAATCCGTTTGAGACTCAAACAGTAACCAAATTCAAATCTGAGCACACCTACGCGCTCGTGACAAAAAGGGGATTGCTCTGGCACCCAATGCCCCACTGCCACAATCTCCCACACACCACCACAAGCGCCGACAGCGCGTAGGTGTCCAAAGCGATAATAATCGCCCCAAAAATTCTAAAAACTAAGGGCCAAGGTTCCTACCCTAGATTCAAAACATCAAATGGAGCCACTTTTGTTCTCGGACCTACCCCGAAAAATGGCCGGAAGTGGCCGGAATTGAAAATCAAAAACCAGCCAAAACCTAGGGTTTAAATTCCAGCAACCTATTGTGAAAATTAACCAAATCCTAATCAACCATCAGCTAGAGCACAAAAATTAGTCCAGAAGCCATACCTCAGCTGTCGGATTTGGTGGCCGGAGGAGAGATAACGAGGCTGGCGAAGAATCTGTCAAACCCAACAATTTCTAGCGGCAGGCTCGACGGTGACGGCGGGGGGAACGTCTGGGCTTCAAAGGTTGTGGCGGCCAAGTCCTTTTTTCGACGGAGCAGTGGGCTAAGGTGACGACGGAGAGAGAGACAGTTTAGGGCAGAGAGAGGAAGTGAGGAAGAAAGGAGGTTGTCGCAATTTTTCTGAAAATTTAACAGATCTTGCGCGACCAAGCACAAATGCGTCGCGCAAAGTAGTTTTCTGCAAGGTAGTTTTCCGCCCAAATTTTCATTACATTGCGCAACGATTAAATAAAACCGTCGCACAAGGTACGTAGTCCGCCAAAATTTTGGTCACCTTGCACGACGAGTGCATAAAACCGTCGCGCAAGGTTGATATTCCGCCAGAAATTTTTGGGTTTAGGGTTTAGTGAAGGGTTTGATCATTTTGTGCGACGAAATAATAAAAACCGTCACGCAAGGTTGTTATTCCGCTAGAAATTTTTTGGGTTTAGGATTAGTGAAGGGTCTGACCATTTTGCGCGACGAAATAATAAAAACTGTCGTGCAAGGTTGTTATTCCGCCAGAAATATTTTGGGTTTAGGATTAGTGAAGGGTCTAATCATTTTGTGTGACGAAACAATAAGAACCGTCGCGCAAGATTGTGTCAAACCCTAAACCCTAAATTAATAAACCTTGCGCGACGTAGTAAAGATTGTGCGTCACGCAAACCTCTGGCAAAGTAATATTTTAAATTTAAATTTAAATTTTTTTATACATTCATACATATTTTTATTTTTATTTTTATTTTTTTATATAAATTCTTATACTGTTTATTATTTTTTAATCGAGTATATTATTTTTAAAAAAAATAAAAATGCCTAGAAAAATATACTCTATTAAAAAATAATAAACACCATAAGAATGGTTTAAATTTTTTTTATACAAGGAAAAATACTCTATTAAAATAAGAGTCGTTATGTAATAGGCCCTTGCAACTCTAATAGTCAAAAAATCATCTCCATATTTACTTCCAACCAAAACCCAATTTTGAAAACGGATGCCATGAAGGATAAAGTTGCCCATTTGTTATTACTTATTTACAAAAACCCTGCCATTTTTGTTATCCAACGATTTTTCCTAAACAATCCCTAATATCTAGCCTTTCCATTATTATGGTGTTGCTTGGACTCAACAAATCAAAACATTCTCATAATATATAATATATGTTCGTTCATAAATAATATGTATATATAGCTATACATATAAACCATAATTATACATAATAATTTACCTATACATATTTCACAGTAGGTATATTATTCAAATGGTAGGTATATTGGATGACATATAATACTTAAATCCTAATCGTAAGTACATTAAAATTAATGTAGGTATATTGGATGTCGTATAATGTAGGTATATTGGAATAGATAATTATGTACACTTTTTATAAATTAAAAACAGGTACATTTTTCATACTAGGTAAATTATGTTTTTCATAAAACAAACAAGTAATAGGTACATAATTTTTTCAACTGTGATGGATGTACAGTATTATTCATAAACAATTATAAAGTAGATTATTAGTCATGTATAATTCACAAAAAGAAAATAACATAAACAATTATAAAGTAGATTACCTAAATCTGAATTTATTGTGATTTATAAATATGTTTTGCACGACGAATATCTATAGTTGCGTAGCGTAAAGAAGTGTTGCGCGACGATACGAAAAAGTTGTCGCGCAAGGTTGTAGAAATTATCGCAACTTGTGCGACGTGACGTAAATGTTAACTTCGTTGCGCGACGAAGTACGTCTTTCGTCGCACATCTTACGCGACGTACAAACAGCAGTGACGTCTCGCAACCCATTCGATTTCTCGCGCGACGAAAATATTCGTCGCGCAAGTTTTAAACTATAAATTAAATATCACGATTTCTAGTATATTAGGACAACTTGCGCGACAGGGATGTTATCATTACGTCGCGCAAACCTCTGGCAATGTTTTTTTTTAAGTTAAATTTTTTATTTTCTTTATTTTAAATAATTATTATAAAAATTACACATGTTACCTTAATGAACTTAAGTTTCATATGAATTACGAAAAAAATTCAAGGATTTCGGAACAATTGAAAAGTTAAATGTTTATATTCTAAATTTGAATTATTATTTTATTCTCCGATGTGAGACTTAATGTACACATTATAGTTTGTATAATAGTTTAATGCTTGATTAAATCATTAAATAAGATGGGGTTGTGAGACCTAAGGGCCCGATTCTTGATTTTTTTTTCAATTTTTTTTATTCATTCAATTTGAAGATTTTAAACACAAAAAAGAGAAAACCGTAATTCTTATATTCATAAAGACCACTGAAAATCAAATAGACAGATTCAAATCTGTTTTCAAATTTAGGTATATATTTAAATTTATATATTATATGTTGTAATTTAATTTGTGATTGCAAATTTTGTGTGCAACTTGATTTTAATTTGTCATTGCCATATTTACACTACCATAATTAAATTACAACAAATTTCATTTACTATGTTTTACATGGGTAGTCGCTAATAAATTGCATTATTCATCATCTGAACTATAATAACCTTTGTTATCCTCGCTATCATCACTTTCGGTCTCCCAATCCTCCTCCTCATCACTTTCGTTGTTCCGGCCCACTGGAACTTCGTATCTCGGAAGATCACTGAGGTCAATTGTAATTGACTAAATCGATATTTCGATTGAAGACACTCCTTGAAGCTGAAATGGTTCTTGTATAACATTTGTATCTCGAAGTGTTTCTGCATCATTTTCCATGGAAGATTCCAACCGTTGGTCAATGACGTTGTCGATGTTGTTGTCAGTTGGGTCTAGTTCTTGTATAGCATACACGTTTCTCTAATCCATCTGCTAAGCAACTTTCCAACCGCTTCTAGCTTTAGGGTCATGTAGATACACAATCTGTCTTGCCATGTTTGCCAAAATATAAGGGTCGTCATCATACCAAGTTCTGCTAATGTTCACTGATAGTAACCATGGTCTATTTTAACACTTCCCTGCCTATTTGGGTTTGTATCAAACCATCTACACTTAAACATGATCACTTGGTATCGGTCTTTGTAAAGCAATTGCATGACAGTTGTGAGTTTGCCATATAAATCAATGTCCGTACTTTCGCCTCCACCTAGGACATGGACACCGCTATTTTGCGTACACAACTTGTCATCTCGTGCAGTCCCCAAAAACTTGATGCCGTTAACATGGCAACCCAAGAATAATTCTGTACAAATTGGGCTGAAGGCCAAGTTATATAACTCTTCACTGTACGAAGGTGAATTAGATTATTTCAACTTAGTCACCTAATATTATACAAAAACATTCACGTCTTAGTTTGATAACATTAAATGATACAATATATATATATATATCAAATACAAAACACTTATAGCTTACATATTCCAAAAACCATTGTGGAAACAAATCACGTAGCTTCTTGGCATACAAATGTGATGGATGTTCTCGCTTCATCATCTCTTCATGCTCATCTAAGTATGTCATTATCTCATCACAATTATTAAGTACGAACCAATGCGCTACCTCCATGTCATTTTTGGAAAACGACTCTCCTCATACAGGATCTCCAAAGGGTTGTGCGCTTTGGGCAAAAACAGAATGTTTCTCATTTCTCATACCTTCGTCATTATTGTGCTGAGGACGATTGAAAGCCGTGTCCACATCTTTTAAATACATTCCACAGAAAGTAAGCGACTCATATTGAACCCAAGCCTCTATAATTGATCCTTCGGGCTTCGCCCTATTGTTTATAGTTTTTTTCAGCTCTCCAAGAAGCCTGCCAAAATAAAACGAAACAATACAAATTAGCGAGCATGGAATAAGGATGCATAAACAAATGATGAGGATTATATACTTTTCTATTGGATACATCCAAAGATAGTTGACAGGACCAGCGAGCAATGTCTCTTCTGGCAAGTGAACCATCACGTGGATCATACTTGTGAAGAAAGCTGGAGGGAATATCATCTCGAACTTGTATAGGACTTGGACAATGTCATGGCGCAACTCATTAATGCCTGTCTTTCACAATGTTTTTGCCGTCAGTTAGGAAAAAAATCTGGACAACAACATGATTGGTTTCACTACATCTTCTGGCAAAAGGTGTCGAATACCCACAAGAAGTAGGCGTTGCATAAACACATGGCAGTCATGGCTCTTTAGTACAGTAAATTTACCCCCGTCAACATTCACGCAACACGCGATATTAGAAGCATACCCATCGGATACGGACAATACAAACTTTAGAAAATCTTTTTTGTCATTCGGTTTCATGAAAAAAAAATGTCAGATCCCTTCTAGCTTTATCACCATCCATGTTCGTCCATAAATCTCTTCGTATGCCCATTCTTTCCAAATCAAGACGAGCTTTGTCTTATCCTCGATATCTAGAATCGTGCCCATCAATGTGTCAAAGAAATTTTTCTCAACATGCATAACGTCGAGATTGTGCCTCAATTTTAGTTTCGACCAATGTGGGAGCTCAAAAAACATAGGCTTGTGCGTCCAGTTCAAATGTGTAGAAGGTCTGGTCCGAGTAACTGTTTTCCCAAACGGAGAAAAATCCAAACGGCTAAGCTGTTCCAAGATCTCATCACCGAACCATTCTCTAGGTCTGAGGCGATGCTCTGTGTTCCTGTCAAACCTTTATCCTTCTCCCGCCACTCGTGGTCCCATGGCAACCATCTCTGATGACCAAGATAACAAACTTTTCCTGCGTGCCAACCAGAAGTTACATCTTTCTTGCATACATGGCATGCCATATAACCCTTTGTGCTCCACCCAGAAACCATTGCATATGCTGGAAAATCATTCACAGTCCACATAACTACTGCCCGCAAAGTGAACATCTTCCCAATGGATTTATCGTACGTGCGCACACCGTTTGTCCATAAATCCTTGAGCTCATCAACCAACGGCCTTAAGTAAACATCGATTGACCTGCTAGGATCCTCAGTTATCAAAACAGCCATCATCATGTATTCTTTTTTCATGCATTTCCAAGGTGGCAAATTATATGGGAATACGAAAATCGGCCAAGTGATATGGTGTTGGTTTAGAACCCCGTACGGATTGAATCTGTCAGTGGCATGTCCCAATCTAACATTTCGAGGATTAGCAGCAAACTCGGGGAATGTTCGATCGAACTCTTTCCATGCCTCCCTATCTGCAGGATGCCGCATCACATCGTCGTCTACTCGTTTTTCCTTATGTCATCTCATGTCTGTGGCAGTATGAGTCGACATATACAATCGTTGTAGCCTAGGTTTCAGGAGCAGATAACGCATGACTTTTTATGGGATCTTAATCGTTCTATTCTGAGATGTCATCTTGAACCTCGACCCTTTGCATATAGTGCATGTATCCAATGTTTCATACTCTTTGTAGAATAACATGCAATTATTTTTGTAAGCATGAATTTTTTCATAACCCAATCCAAGACCATTCAACACCTTTTGCGCTTTCTATGGTCTTTCGACAAAAAATTGTCTGTCGGAAGCATTCTCTTGAAAACCCCCAAAAAGTAATCGAAACACAGGTTCGACATACAATACTTTATTTTTCCGTGCATTACCTCCACAATAGCCGTGAGAACAAAAAAGCTCTCCCACCCTGGGTATAACTCTTGGTTTGCATTTTTTAACAGTCGTTCATATTGTTTGAACTCTGCACTGTCCATTAGGGTAGGCACATCATCTTCCCCTTCCTGATTGATGTTGGTCGATGCAAATGGAAAAGCATCATTTATAATATCCATGACTTGTTCATTAGGATCCACAATAGGTTCAACATTGTCCATCCTTGTGGCATTTGAAGACGAAACATCGTCTAATTGTTCCCCGTGAAGGTTCCAAATGTTATATGTCTCAATAATTCCATTCCTTACTAAATGAAATCCAACATTTTCAATTGTCTCCCACAACGTGTTGTTACACCTCTTACAAGGACAACGGATTCTAGTTGCACCCGGGTTGTGTCTACGTGCAAACTCAATAAAATCCTCGATTCCATCCAAGTATTCGGCTGCGCATCTATTTGGTTTATGTATCCACCTTCTGCTCATAATTCATGAAATCGTAATCACAACACAACAATCACAACAACTTCATACGAAGTTATAATGTCACATTATGCCTCCGGTAAGGGCCCTATCCCATTTGGGAATGCATAGTCATGTCACGTAACTTACGGCTACATGAGACTAGATCTTGACGTGGATGAATTTCGGCAGCATCTCGATACAGTTCTTGAGGTAGGCATAGGTATAAATACCTACGTACCACCCGAAGAACGTACCGAGATGACACCGAAATTTCCACAATCGAAACCTAATCATGCAGCCGTAGATTACGTGACAACACTATGCATTACCAAATTGTCCAAATAATGGGACAATTCAAGAATTAATTGGACCGCAGTCATGCTTTATGCATCCATGCACGAAATCCAACTAATCTCGAACGGGAAACTAAGTGTTACTAAAAAATAATAATAAAAGTAAGAAGTTAATTTCAATTAACTTCGTACATCACAACACATTGTGCTACGTCACGCATAATTTAACAACATAATATAAATATAATTTCACAACAAAAAATATAAATATAACAAACTAAGTTCAACATAAAGTAATTAATTTAATATAAAATGAATAAAATACATTCTCAATCGTTCTCCACAATCGCAAATTATAAATATCTATGATGAGAACAAAATTAATAGCGTTAGTACGAATTTACATTAATACTTTTAAACAAATGACAAATAATACTTACCCAATGAGCGTATTGAATTCCTAGCAGAGGCAGCAGCAGGGACAAAGAGAGGTTCTAAAAATTCTAAAAAAAATTTGCATTCTGTATCTGCAATGGCAGAATCCAGAGATGTAGACGAAGGATTTTGCACGATGAACAAATTTTTCGTCGCACAAACTATCGTCGTGCAAAACCATTTTTTCGTCGCATAAAATCACTTTTTTTCGTTGCGCAAGCACCTGTCAACATCGGGTTCGTCGCGCAAACCTTCGTCGCGTAAACTCTAAACGGCGTTGCGCATACGCAAATTTCGGTATTTGGCGCCAAAAAAAAGGTATCGCACGTTTTTTTGTCCATCTTTACGCGACGAAATTCGAAACCGTCGCTCCAAGATATCTTTCGCGACGATCAATATCGTCGAGCAAATGTTTGGCGCCAAAAAAAATAAACTCGGATTTTTCTTCCCCACTTTGCGCGACGACTCATTTGTTTGTCGTGCTAAGTTTCTTTGCTCGACCAAACATTTCGTCGCGCAAGTTTTCGTCTGTTGCGAGACGAATTTTTTTTCCCATCGCTGGAGTGTATTTTGCGCAACGATTTTTTTTTCGTCACGCAAAGTATCGTCGCGCAAATAGTGAAATGTAATAGTGAATTCAAAAAAGACACATATATCTCTATAAATATAGGAGAATTCTCTGTAAAACGAACTTACTTTCAATCCTATTTCTATCATAACTTCTCTCCATCATATTTCAAAAAGTAAAAACCTTCTAGAGACTATAATCTGCAGCAATAGCTTCTAGATATTCTTGAGTGTCCTTGTTATATTCTTGAGTGTGTTTGGGTTGTCTTTGGTTGTGCAAAACATGGACAGCATATAGCTATTAGGCTAAGCTTCATTGCATCCATAGGGTTATTTGCTTAGCCTCTTTGCACAAAAGTAATTAAGGCAAATAGAGTCTGAAAAAGAGTGTATACATACACGCCTTGAAGCATCTTTCATCCTCTCATTATCATTCCTTCTTAAACACTTCTTCTGTAAGCCATTCCCACAATATTTTTAAACACAAATATCCAACATCAAGAGACTATTTCCTCTTTTGGGTTAGAGACTTATGCTTTGGTTAGTTCTATTGGGAGTAACTCTAATTGGGCTTGGCCTCTCTTGAGTGCAGATGAGTTAATTCATGTTAGAGTGATGATGCATAATATGCTGCAAATTCTTTTAATTTGGATGTGGTTCGCTAAGTGCCTGCGTCTAATGGCCTTTTTTGGCCGCTTCTGCTTGGGATTTTCTCCGGGTTTCAACCAATGGTATCTGCAATGTCCTTGCTTTGGTTTAACCAAAACATCCCTAGAATGAGTTTTATTATGTGGATGGCCATCAAGGGGAAGTTACCTACCCTTGAAAGAATTGCTGCTTATCGTCCTCTTGTTGTGACGTCTTGTCCGCTCTGTCATGGCCCTCCCGAATCCATTGATCATCTTTTCTTTAAGTGGTCCTACTCTGAAGCTATTTGGCGTCAAATTATTCGTAAGTGTAGAGTGGTGGGCATTCCTCATTCTTGGCATCTGTTAATTCCTTGGGCCTCTTCGTCGTGGAATGGAAAATCGGCGAGATCTGTTGTCAAGAGACTTTGTCTTGCAGCTTCTGTCTACTTCATTTGGAAGGACAGAAATTGTAGGATCTTCATAAACTCTTTTTGCCCCCTACTGTAACAATCAAGTTAGTTTTGAATTCTGTTAGGAGTAGGCTTTGCTCTATAGGATTTAAAACTTCTCTTGCCAATGCCTTCCTTATGGAGGACTGGAATGTTTCCATTAACTAGCTGCCTTTAGGGTTTTCTGTTTTTTATTTTATTTTTGGAGGTGTCTGTCTTTTCGATGGACTGTCCTCTTTTGTTTGTTACGAGTTGGTCTTTTGACCTTCTTGTTGTTTGTTCTTGGGGCTTGCCCTCCTCGGTTATAAATTCATTTAATTACCAAAAAGAAAAGTGTATAAGGCTTACTGTCTCGAGGCCCAAGGCTTGAGGTCTTCAATCCAATGGCCTCCATGTTTCTCGTCAACTGCTTTGTCAAAAGTGCTAATTATCCTCTTATTTAAATTTCACTGACTAAAAATAAGATAATGTAATGAGGGCAATTTATTCTCAACTTCTCTGGTAATAAGTATCTAATAATACAACAAACTCATGTGCATGAGATTTGAACTTAGCACATATTAAGATTCAATGAATCAGAAGAAGAAAGGAAGAAAAGAAAGCATAAAAAAGATATGAAAAAAGATTTTTTCTTGCTGATGTAATGAATGGTTATTGTTTGTGCAAATAATCTCACGGGAGAATATTCGCTTCTAGATTCTTCAACCTTCGATCTTCCTTCTCTCTCTTCCTCGATTCCTGTAAAACAGATTGGAGTAAATAGACCACACCCGGGGGGTGTTGGCCAAAGGCCCTCCGATGCCTAAGTTAGTTCGAGTGTTTGTAGAAAACAATAGCTAAGCAAAGGGTACGGAGTAGTGTTTATGTAGGGTGTGAACCGGGCGGCCGGAGCCGTGTGTGGTGGCCGGAGCCGTGTGGAGAAAATATGGAGAGTGGAGAGGGAGAAAGAGAGAGCTTCGGGTATTTTTCTCGGGTATAAGGAGTAGGTTTAGATGTACCTTGAATGATGAATGAAGTCATCTATTTATAGGAGCCTCGGGGCTAGGGTTTCGTAGAGAATATGCTGAGTTTATTCTCTACCCAAATTCGTAGGGATCGAGTCGGACTGAGATAATATCTGATTTAATGATATTATCTCTTTTATGGAGATAATATCTGAATTAAATGATATTATCTCTTTTTATGAAGATAATATATGAGATAATGACATTATCTTCTCTTTAATAGGATAATATCTTAATTAATGATATTATCTTATTAAATAAAGATAATATCATGTTAATTAAGATATTTATCCCAATTAATTAATTGGCCAGATAAACTGGTTCAATTAATTAATTAAAAGAGATAATCTTCTTTTCCACGTGGCGCGCTGTGATTGGAGACGAAAATATTGCTCCCACAAATGCCCCCCAGCTTCTGCATGGCGCTTGTGTGGCATGTAGGAGATGAATTATTTTTTTTCGGGCTCTCCAACTGAGTCTGGGCTTTCTTCTGTGAGTTGGACTCCTTTTGCAGATCGGATTCTCAATTGGTGTAGGCTTCTGACTGTTGTTGGAGTTGGATTCCCAGTAGGAAAGAGCTTGAGATTCCTTCTTGACCCGGGTTGTCCAACTTGTATAAATACAGGGCTTCTCTTCACTCTTTCTTACATCGCAAACTTAACTTCTCTACTTTCTAGCTTGAGAAAGATCTTGGAGAATTTTGTACTGCTTGTCGAAGAGAGGAGTTGCCGTGCATCCCAAAGTAAGTCGAGCACGTAAATTTTCCTTCGTCTTCTCTTTTTCAAGGCGAGGACCAGTTGGGTGGGACCAGGTTGGTTGTCATCGTTACTGGCAGCCAAAGACGATTGGAGCGGCGGTGGCTGCTGGCGGCTGCTGAGCAACGATTAGGAGGAAGTTGGTGGACTGCCCCCTGCTAAGGATGTCGATAGATGGAAGCAGGATGGTCCGAGCCTTGATGATCTGCCTGCTGGACATGAGGAGTGTTTTGCTAAACTCCCCTAAAAAGGAAGGCTGATGTCAAGTCTTCGAGAGCTCAAGCCTGATGAGTTTGGAGATCGTGATATGCTCAGTAAAGTAGTCCGTGCACGATCTAGCTCACTTGTTGAGAGGCAAAGAGATGCGGATGCTCCTTTTCGAAATTCGAGAGTCGTTTGTACCAGTCGAAGATTGGAAGTCGATCTGGGCAGTCTGCTCATCCATCCAACCATCATGTTTCAACTGTTGAGTCATGAGCAGTCAAGCATGGAGTTGATTCGACGTCGCAAATTCCTTTGGAAGTGAGGTTGGCGGAGGCTAGGAAAGCAAGAGAGTCATCTGCCCGGACAAAAGGTTCTTCTGTAACGTCAGCGACTGATCCAAAGGTGGACAAATCTAGCCCTGCAGGGGATGCAGGCGTGTCTGATCTGCTAAAAACGCAATTTCTATCAAGTCCATCCTCTTGTGCTGAGCTGGTTGACCAAATCCGTCAGGCTGGCGATCTTGGTACTTTTTCAAGTCTTTCCTTGGAAAAGCAAAAGGAAGCGACACTTCATCTGCTTCAAAAGGGAATAGTTTTTGCTGCTGAGACCATTCGGAACTCGTCTGCTGTTGCCCCATCTTCTGTTCAGCTCAGCGAGTTGGAGAAGAAGAATGCCGAGTTAGTTAGCAAACTTTCCGCCGAGCAGACCCGTTATGAGAAGAAGACGTCTGATTTGCGGGCGATGATATCTGAGTTGAAGAGCTCCCTTGCTGAGAAGGATTCCGAGCTTAACTCTTCTGCTGCTGACTTGGCAAGTCGAAAAAGATGCTTATTTCCACCTTGAGCGCAAGAATGCCGACATCTCTCATAGCTATGACAAGCTTTTAGCTAGACTTCACGCCTACCATGAGTCTGCTGAGGAATCCAAGTCCGAAGTTGCCATGGACGCGTACAAGTTGGGCTACCTGGACTGCACAAGAGGATATGATCCCTTCTACGCCATTGGAGATGAAGACATCGAGATGCTCTATCCAGACTTGCCCCCTGCGCAAAGTGAGAAGGCTAATGCTGTGAACATCGAAGGAGCTGAAGAGCAGGTGACTAAAGAGGCGGTAGCTGAGGAGGATGGAGCAGAGGAGGATGCAGCCGATGGTGGTGGCAGACGTCATAGATCAGGCATGTGGAGCTGCTGAAAGCGTGGCTGTTCAGGCGGACGCTGAAGAGGTTGTAGATCAGGGATCTCCTGCTGGCGCTTCGGAGTAGACGAAGACTCCTTTATTTCTTTTCAACTTTTGTAGTCTGCTTTTGTTTAGAATAATTGGTCTTGTTTGACCATCTTCTTTTGTTTGAACTTGGCCGGTTGGTCGCTTTGCTATGAAAATTTCAGTCTTTATTTTTCAACTTCAATTTGCATATTGTCTTGTGAACTGCTTGAGTAACCGGCTAGTGTCTTGATTGCACATCTCCTTTGGAGATTCATGAGTGTCAGGGTTCCTCTTGAAGGACTTCGGACGTGTTCTGCATATCTCTTAGGTTGGCTTGGTCGTCGCCCTGCGTCTCCCGAAGGACGCTGCTTATGGGCAACTGTGTGACTATCCTGCCTCCCTTAGGAAACGGATAGGAACCTGGATACTTCCCGCAAGAGGCATGGAGACCTCCTTTTAAGAAATTCCTGGCGCACCCTGCGTCTCCCTTAGGACGCTTTTTTAGTGGGCTGCGTCTCCAAACGGACGCTTTTAGTCGTCGCCCTGCGTCTCCCTTAGGACGCTCTTTATGGGAACTGTATGACTATCCTGCCTCCCTTAGGAAACGGATAGGAACCTGGATACTTCCCGCAGGAGGCATGGAGACCTCCTTTTAAGAAATTCCTGGCGCACCCTGCGTCTCCCTTAGGACGCTTTTTTAGGGGGCTGCGTCTCCAAACGGACGCTTTAGTCGTCGCCCCTGCGTCTCCCTTAGGACGCTCCCTTATGGGCAACTATATGACTATCCTGCCCCCCTTAGGGAACGGATAGGAACCTGGATACCTCCCTTAGGAAATTCCTGGCGCACCCTGCGTCTCCCTTAGGACGCTTTTTATGGGCTGCGTCTCCCGAAGGGACACTTCTGGTCGTTGCCTGCGTCTCCCGAAGGACGCTGCTTATGGGACAACTGTTGTGTTTTGTGGGTAGATGATATTTCTCCAGATGAATCGCTCCACATCGGCTTCTTTAGTAGAGGATAGAGCTTCGGCCTCGATCCATTTAGTAAAATAGTCGGGTGGCGACGATCATCATTTCTTTCTTGGCAGGCGCCGGTGGCAAGGGACCCACTAAGTTGATGGCCCATTGCATGAATGGCCATGGACTGTTTTGCGGATGGTAAACTTCGGCAGGCAGATTAGGGATCGGCTTGTATCGTTGGCAACGATCACATCTTTTGACATATTCAGCGGAGTCGTGGCGCATGGTAGGCCAGAAATAGCCTACGTTCAGAGTTTTCTGGGCGAGTGACCTGCCCCTGAGTGGTTGCCACACTCGCCGTCGTGAATTTTGCAGAGGACTTCAAGTGTTTGAGGGTACTTTATGCAGGTGAGATGAGGGCCGGAGTATGATCTACGATGAGCTTGCTGCCGTGCATATAGTATCTCGCGGCCTTCTGCTGGACCTTCCTAGCTTCGGACTTATCCGTTGGCAGGTTTTCCATTCACTAAGTAGTCGATGATGGGGTCTTGCCAGCTGGGGTCCTCATCAATCTGCATTGAGTCGATCGGCTCTATTTCTTCGATGCTTTGGCCGGTCAAGGTGTTCAACTGGGATGGAGCGTCTGAACTGGGTGTCCAGTGCTGATCCTAGGCTCGCCAACGCATCTGCATGAGTGTTCTCTGCCCGTGGAACTTGTTGGATGGTGAAAGTAGGGAATTCTTTCAAAAGTCCTTGGACTTTGTCGAGGTACTGGACCATTCTTGGATGCTTTGCCATGTACTCGCCTGAGGCTTGATTCGTGATCAGTTGGGAGTCTGAGTAGATGGCCAGTCTCTTGATCGACAGTTCTTTCGCTAGGCGTAGTCCTGCAAGCAGTGCCTCATATTCTGCCTCGTTGTTTGAAGCAGAAAAGCCTAGTGTGATAGCTTGTTCCAACAAGGTTCCGTCTGGGGTGATTATGACGACTCCTGCTCCCGCTCCCTTGTGATTTGATGCTCCGTCTACATGCAACTGCCACATGTCGTTAGGTAGGTTCGAATCGGTGGGGAGGTGTCGTCCGCTTTTTCCTTGCTTTTCGTACCATCTTCTCTTCTTCGGCTGTCGGAGTAAACTCTACAACAAAATCTGCTAAAGCTTGGGCTTTTATAGCAGTCTTCGGCCGGTAGAGGAGGTCGTATTGACTGAGTTCGATAGCCCATTTCATGAGTCGCTGAGAAGCGTCGGGGCTGTGAAGGATCGATCTCAAAGGAAATTCTGTTATGACAATTATCCGGTGTGCTTGATAGTAGGGCCTTAACTTTCTCGCAGAAACCACAAGCGAAAAAATGAGCTTCTCCATTTTCGGATAGCGAGTCTCTGCATCGAGGAGAGCTTTTGAAGTGTAGAATACCGGATGTTGTGCCCCCAGCTCTTCTCGGATGAGAGCTGAGCTGACAGCTGAGTCGGACACCGCTAGGTAGATGTACAAGTCTTCGCCTGGTATCGGCTTTGAGAGCAATGGAGGTGAAGTGAGGTAAGTTTTCAAGTTTTGAAAAGCTACTTCACACTCGTCATCCCACTTATCTTTGTGTCCCTTCTTCAAGGCTTTGAAAAATGGCCTGCATTTGTCGGTAGATCTAGAGAGGAATCGGTTGAGAGCTGCCGCCCTACCCGTTAGACTTTGTATCTCCTTTGTTGTGGCAGGTGACTTCATGTTGAGTATAGCCTTGATTTGATTTGGATGTGCCTCAATTCCTCTTTGGGTGACTAAGTATCCAAGGAATCGGCCGGACGAGACTCCAAATGTGCATTTGCTCGGGTTCAACTTCATGTTGTATTTTCGGAGTATGCTGAATGCCTCGGCAAGATTCTCGATGTGGTCTGCTCGCTCGGGAGCTTTGACTAGCATGTCGTCTACGTAGACCTCCATAGTCTTGCCGATTTGCTCCTTGAAAATTTTATTCACCAGCCTTTGGTAGGTTGCCCCGGCGTTCTTCAGCCCAAAGGGCATGACCTTGTAGCAGTAGGTACCTCTTTCGATGATGAAAGAGGTCTTTGCCTTGTCGTCTTCATGCATCATGATCTGGTTGTAACCGGAGTAGGCGTCCATGAAGCTTAGCAGTTGATTGCCGGAAGTTGAATCGACGAGCTGGTCAATTCTCGGCAGTGGAAAGTTATCTTTAGGACATGCCTTGTTGAGGTCAGTATAGTCGACGCACACTCTCCACAGGCCTTTATCTTTCTTTGCTACTAGAACAACGTTCGCCAGCCATTCTGCGTATGAGACTTCTTCAATGAAACCGGCAACTAGAAGCTTGTCGATCTCGGCTTCAATGATGGCGACTCGCTCGGGGGCGAAGTTGCGTCTCTTCTGCGCTACAGGCTTGATGGCTGGGTTGACGTGTAGGCGATGGCAGATGATCTGGGGATCGATGCCAGGCATGTCAGATGGTGACCATGCAAATACGTCTTTGTTGTTCTGGAGGAAGGCTACAAGCTCTGCCTTTTCCTCCTGGCTTAGGCGCGAGCCGATCCGCGCTGTTCTCTCTGGCTTGTCAGGATCAAGGGGTACTAGCTCAACGTCCTCCTCGGGCTTCCATCCTTCTTCAGGATAGACCTCCGGACGGATTCCCTCGACTTGGTCCTGATTCTTTGATTGCTATTGGGGAGTAGTTATTCCCTTTCCTTTTTGGCCTGCTCGGCCGTCAGGAACGGGATCTGCTTTCCTCATCTGCTTGTTCTACTCCCTTTAGATCTGCTTGATTCACAGGGAGGAACTGTGTTTGCTTGCCTTTCTTCAGCCCTTGAGCTGAGCATTTCCTCGCCATCGCCTGATCGCTGTTGATTTGGCCGATCCCACCCCAAGGAATTGGGTAGCGAATCTTCTGATGCGTGGCGGAGGTGATGGCGTTGATCTTGCTGATCCATGGTCTGCCTAGAATGCCATTGTAGGGTGAGACTTCATCAATGACCATGAACGTTTGAGAGCTGATTACAGGTGGGGCGTAGACGTCGAGCTCTATCGTGCCTACGGTAACCGTTGTTGCTCCATTGAAACCAGTCAGCGACTTGGCTGATTTATTGATCTTTGCCTCTAAGCCCATCTGTTGGATAACTGTCAATTGTAGGATGTTGGCTGCACTGCCCTCGTCTGCATGGATTCGGCCGACCATGGCCTGAGCGATTTGAATGCTGATGACAAGAGCGTCATTGTGTGGTAGATCAAGGCCAATTAGATCTTTCTTTTGGAAGCCGATTATAGGGTCGTCTTCTGCTAGCGGAATGTCGGTTGAGACTTGGGAGATCATAGTGGCTTGTTTGATCTTCCTTTTTTTTTCCTTGCTGGTCAACCCAGATTCCTCGGAGTCGGCTAGGATTGTGTTAATCCTTATGACCTTTTGGGGCGGCTCCTTGGCGGTGTCGCGGTCCTCTATCTGTTGGATGGCCTGCTTAGCGATGAATTCGTGCAGTGACCTTCCCTTCACGAGTTCTTCGAGGTGTGCTTTCCAAGCGAAGCAGTTGTTCGTAGTGTGTCCATGCGTCCCATGGAAGGCACAGTATTTGCTAGTATCCCTCCTGTCTGGATCTCCTTTCAAGGGTGGCGGTCTTCTTACCCAAGGTTTGTTTTTCACTTGGGCTAGGATTTGATGTATAGGGATAGTGAACTTGGTGTAGTTCTCTCCTGCCTTAGCGTCCTCTTGTGGGTGTGACCTGCGCTTGTCCTTGTTCTTGTTGCTAAATCCATCGCTTCTTAGGCCCGCCCGCTTGGTCTGCCGATCTCCCTGCTCAGTGGACTTCTTCGCGGCAATTCGATCGTCATCCCAGAGCGCGTAGCGTTCTGCGGTCGCGAAGACCTCTGCTAAAGTCTGGCTGGGAGTGATAGTCAGCTCGCGGTATAACTCGTGTTCTGCTGGAAGACCTTTCTTGAAGGCAGATGATGCGATTTGGTCGTCGCACCCTACGATGTTGGCCTTTTCTGCTTTGAACCTCTTGATGTAATCTCGAATGGATTCGTCGGGCTTCTTGCGCAGGTTGAACAGATGATCTGGGTTCTTCTTGATCGTCCGATAAGAAGTGTATTCTTTAGTGAAGACATAGGCAAGCTCCTTGAAACTGTTGATCGACCCAGATGGCAGGGTGTGGAACCAGTCCTGAGCTGCTCCTCGCAATGTCATTGCAAATGCCTTGCACATCAGTGCGTCGTCGGCCTTGTGGAGGATCATGACACTTTTGAAGTGTTTTAGGTGGCTCTCGGGATCGGAATCTCCCTTGAAATGCGTAAAAGAAGGCGTTGAGAATCGCTTCGGGGGAGCAGCCTGCTCGATTTCAGGGGTGAAAGGAGTAGAGATCGCCTGGTCCATCTCCTTACGTAGTGCATCCTCGAGGTTCCCGCCAGTCTTCAAGTCTCGAAGTCGGTCATTCACAAGCTTCTCAACGTCTTCCGCGCGCAGTGCTGGTCGATCACGTTGGCGACTTTTGCGATTCGGGCGACGCTGATTGACCTCCTCGTTGGTCTGCAAGGGTCGGTCCTCTCGTCCGCGCTGCCTAGGAGGCGTGTTGGTGGACTGCGATTGCGAGGGATTTTCTGCAGCTTGACGGCGAGAGTTGGTTCTCCGAGAGCGGGCAATGGAGTGCCTCTCTTCACGATCCTCATTGCGAGGGTTACCGGGTTGACCTCCCTGGGGGCCTAGCCTTTCGTGAATATTTCTCTGCGAGTGGGCAGCGGAGCGCCTCTCTTCACGATCCTCATTGCGGCGATTGTCAGTTTGATCTCCCTGGGAGCCTAGCCTTTGAAGTACATTCCCCTGCGGGCCCAGGCGAGCACGGACGTCAAGTCGTGGGCCGAGCCTTTCTCGCACGTTGCTTTGTGTGTGGCTTGCAGATGCTCGCGACATGTCGGCAAGCTGATCACGTGGTTGTGCATCCCCTTGTCTGCTCGCTCCTGCTCGACCCGCTTGGTGCCCGTTGAGCTGCCCACCGGTGCGTTCGTCTATTCTTCTCACTTCGCCTGGTTGTCCAAGGCCAAGATTTTGAGCCACGCTTATTTGATTAAGGAGCTGCCTCATAAGAGCGTTTTGGTCGTCCACTCTCTGAGCTAGCTGGTCAACTCTCAGGTTGAGATCTGCTTGACTTTGTGGATCGGGAGGAGAGAAGCGTGTGGAGCCCAATTGCACACGGGCTAGGGTTTCACTGGAGGTGTACGCGAGAGCGTGTGTCGAGCGTGGAGGCAATGGAGGGAACGCTTGAAGTTGCTCCAAGACCGGGCCTAAGTCGGTGGTGGTAACGAGCCCACCTTGATGGGAGGTTCCACCATGTTCGGCGGCGGTGCCACGGAGGTTGCTAGATTCGGTCGCGGGTCCGGTAGGTGGCACGGTGGCGAGAGGTGGTGGTGCCACCATGTTGATCGCGGGATCGTGGGTGGAGTGGCTTTGGGCCGTCACGGATTGAGCCATCGCGGCGGTTTTACTCCTCGTGCGCTTGCTTCCAACCATGGTTGTTTGGAAGGCTTCGGTGGATTGGAAAATATGAGGAACGGATTCCTTGAGCACGCGTTGAGTATAACTCGTGCTCTCAATGAAAGCACCAAATGTTTGTGCAAATAATCTCACGGGAGAATATTCGCTTCTAGATCCTTCAACCTTCGATCTTCCTTCTCTCTCTTCCTCGATTCCTGTAAAACAGATTGGAGTAAATAGACCACACCCGGGGGGTGTTGGCCAAAGGCCCTCCGATGCCTAAGTTAGTTCGAGTGTTTGTAGGAAAACAATAGCTAAGCAAAGGGTACGGAGTAGTGTTTATGTAGGGTGTGAACCGGCGGCGGAGCCGTGTGTGGTGGCCGGAGCCGTGTGGAGAAAATATGGAGAGTGGAGAGGGAGAAAGAGAGAGCTTCGGGTATTTTTCTCGGGTATAAGGAGTAGGTTTAGATGTACCTTGAATGATGAATGAAGTCATCTATTTATAGGAGCCTCGGGGCTAGGGTTTCGTAGAGAATATGCTGAGTTTATTCTCTACCCAAATTCGTAGGGATCGAGTCGGACTGAGATAATATCTGATTTAATGATATTATCTCTTTTTATGGAGATAATATCTGAATTAAATGATATTATCTCTTTTTATGAAGATAATATATGAGATAATGACATTATCTTCTCTTTAATAGGATAATATCTTAATTAATGATATTATCTTATTAAATAAAGATAATATCATGTTAATTAAGATATTTATCCCAATTAATTAATTGGCCAGATAAACTGGTTTCAATTAATTAATTAAAAGAGATAATCTTCTTTTCCACGTGGCGCGCTGTGATTGGAGACGAAAATATTTGCTCCCACAGTTATTACACTAAGAGTTAATACAACATATGTTTCATATTTAACAATATATTCTTTGATAGAGCGGAAACTATACACAGTTATTTACAGTAACAACCCATGAGGTTTTTAGTGTTTTCACAAACTCCATAAGGTTTTTGGTGTTTTCACACACTCCATGAGGTTTTAGAAATTATACGAATACCCCGTGAGGATTCAAATGTTTCCAGAAAAACCTCTTTTCGTCGATTGTTCATCCAAAAATTGACTATTTCATAAATGAAAAACTTATGTTAGTGACAAATTTAACTACAATGAATGTACACGCAAGATAATTTAAAGGCTAAACTTTGTCATTTGTAGAAACTTTTTGTTAGAGACTTTATCTGCAGTTGCTTTTAGGAATCCAAGTTACTTCTGGTATTTTGTTGTAAGGCTAGATATTTGTAGGCTTGGACATTACCAGCTTTCACTTTAGGTGGTAAAGATTGGTGTGTGTGCAAAGAGTATACTACACAACTAATTTATATGTATCAAAGAGAGGAAAAAAAAACCTCTTAACTAAGTAATCAAATATCAGAAAACCCAAGTACTTGTTATTTGAAAGGTTATGAGCAAAGCCACACTCACGTGGTTAGTTGAGTTGTGGGATTTCATTATACTTATAGAATACCGAGTACAGATACAAACAAGGGAGACAATATCCCTAATGCAAGGCGGGAGACAAGCCTCCGTAATGCCAAGGCAGTCCACAATTCTAAGCACCTAGGAAACACGAATCAGACAGTCTATCACAAATATATGTCACGGTCTATCATTATTCTCTTCTCCAATTCTTGCATAAAATCCAACAATATAGACTCCATTAAATTTCACAAAATGACTTGGGCACAGCTCTAAGAGGGTGAGCCATCTGCAAGGTGAGGCCAAACTTCTCTTCCATATTCAAGGTCTCTGGTAAAAATCCCATCTTCAAGCTTCCATTCAAAAGAGTTAATGAGTGAACCCAACATCAAGGGCAGAATTCGCATTGTCCATGACAAGCCAGGACATATTCTCCTCCCAGCACCAAATGGGATAGCTCAAAGTTTTTCCCGGTAACATCAATTTGGTCATCCAATCCCAAGAACCTCTCAGGCACAAATGAGCTTGGGTTGTCCCAAATGCTGGGGTCTCTGCCGATGGCCCATGCATTCACAAACACTTGTGCACCCTTGGGTACAATATACCCGCATATTTCAACGTCTGAATCGGCTTTTCGAGGGAGAAGCAATGGAGTTGCTGGGTGCAACCGAAAGGTCTCCTTGATTATTGCTTGGAAGTAAGGAAGCCGAGCAATGTCTCCTTCCTCTACTGGTTTTCCTTTGCCAATGATTTTCTCCAACTCTTGTTGGGCTTTTGACATCTTTTCAGGGTTGCGTAGCAGCTCAGCCATTGCCCATTCCAACGTGGCAGAGGTTGTATCTGTGCCCGCAGTAAATAGAATCTATTCACATAATAAGTCAACAAAATTAATGGTATAACAAATTGTAATCAAGCAATTAAAAACAAAAACAAAAACAACTAACCAGAAGCAGATGTTGAAGTTTGGTCATGTCCATGTCCTCACTGTTCACTTCACTGATGTTCAAAAGAGTATCCAACATATCATTGGTTGTGAGATAATCATGTGCTTTTCTAGATTCCAATCTTTGGCTAATGATGCGGTCAAAGACCTGTTCTATCTTCTGGACATGTTTGATCATGCGCCGCCTAATTCCCTGGGGGTCAATTTTCCTAAGAACAGGGAAAAGTCCGCCCAGTTTGGCTTCCCTGCCTCTTCCATCGAACCCCACACAGTCTCCTTGAACTCTCTGGCTATCTCGCTACTTGCGTCAGCCAAATCCACAGAGAAGATAGTACGCGACAGCAGATTGAGCGTCGTTTTGAAAGCGGCCCTTCCAATATCTACCGCCTCACCTTTGACCAAGCTTTCATTGACATCAGATATGAGCTCTTGCACTTTCATGCGGCGATTGGGTTGGTTGGCGTCGAGGATTTTTGGGGCGAACAAGTGAGAGTTGCATATTTTTCGAAGGCTTCTCCATTTGGATGAAGTTGGTATCCAGGGCAGGCTTGTCTCCGCGAAGGTCACTGGCTTGGATTGCATCTGGCACGGTTCGGTTGGACAAGAATTGGTCATGGGTTTGGAGGACTTGTTTGGCTGTGTTTGAAGAACCAGGAGGAATGTCCATGTACACCTCCTCCGTGAGTTCGCCATGTAGAAAAGCATTCTTTACATCAAACTGGTGTAGTGGCCAATCCAAATTAGCTGCAAGGGACAATAAGACTCTGACAGTGTTTAACTTTGCAACTGGAGCAAAGGTTTCTTCATAGTCTATACCATAGGTCTGTGTGTACCCTTTTGCCACAAGTCTTGCCTTGTATCGCTCGATAGATCCATCTGCATTGTGTTTTATAGTAAACACCCATCTACATCCGATAGTCTTTTTTCCTCGTGGTATAGTCTCCAATGTCCAAGTCTGATTTTTCTCAAGAGCTTTCATCTCCTCTTTTATAGCTTGGACCCACTTAGGATCTTTCAATGCTTCAGAGACCTTGGTTGGAATATGGATAGCAGACAACTGATGCACAAAAGCCTTGAGTGGTTCAGACAGCTTCTCAGTGGATACATGATTTGCAATTGGATACTTGGATGTTTTGCCAATATCAGGTGAATAGCGGTTTGGTGGCTTCCCACGATTTTGCCTGAAAGGTAATTGATATCCAATAGTTTTATCCTCTAAATGCACAAGTCTAGTAGGAGTAGTTACCTCAAGGATATTCTCAGGAGATTGGTCTGTTGGTACTGTTGAGTTAGAGGGGGGGTCTTCATCTTGTTGTTCTGTATTGTCTGTAGGTGTGAGACTCGGATCAGAAATATCTTCGTATGGATCAGGTGGGTCAGGTAATTGATCGCTATGAATGGGCGATTGGTCGCTTTTCGGCATAGAGTAATCTTGTGCTCCAGACTCAGGATGATCAATCATTTCTGTACATAGGAGAATTTCTTCGTTTTCCAAGTTGCTCCAATTCTGCTCTTCACTTCGTATCTCCCCCTGAAGCGTAGAATTGGATGATGGGTCATGGAAGAACAGCTCAGATTCCAGAAAGGTCACATCCAAAGTGACATAGGTACGTCGGGTAGGAGGGTGATAACAACGGTAGCCTTTCTGATGAGTGGCATAACCCACAAAAACACAACGAAGCGCACAGGGATCAAGTTTGCTACGTTGATTTTTGTGGAGATGAACGAAAGCCACACATCCAAAGATTCGGGGTGTGAGTACCAAAACAGAGGGCAGAGGTCTGTGTTGCGCAAGCACCTGTAAGGGAGTTTTAAAGGTCAATACACCAGAAGGCATGCGGTTGATTAGGTGAACTGCAGTGACAATAGCATCATCCCAGTGATGGCGAGGAACATGAGCGCCAATCAGAAGTGCTCGAGCGGTTTCAAGAAGATGTCGATTCTTTCGTTCAGCAACACCATTTTGTTGCGGTGTCTGAGGACAAGTCGTCTCATGGATAATTCCATGTTGTTGGAAGTAAGTCTGAAAGTCATGATTGACAAATTCTCCACCATTGTCGGAGCGAAGAATCTGGATTTGAGCATTAAACTGAGTTTTCATCTGTTTGTGGAAGGACTGAAACCGGGAAAACACTTCGTTTTTATTCTTCAGCAAATAAAGCCATGTCATCCGTGTACAATCATCTATGAACGTGACAAACCATCGAACACCAGAAGGAGCAGTGATAGGTGAAGGTCCCCAGACATCAGAGTGAATTAACGTAAATGGAGTAGTACACTTGTTCGTACTCAACGGGTAGGGCACACGGTGACTCTTGGCCAAAATACAAGTATCACATGTGAAGTCGGAGTCCTTGAAACCTGAGAATAAATCTGGTATAAGATGCTTCATATAACTAAAAGACGGATGTCCCAATCGACGGTGCCACAACCAGATTTGCTTTTGTTTGCTATCAAAGGGATGCGTCACACTGTTAGCCATGCCAGGACTGAAGTCATCGACATAATATAGCCCCCCTCTCTTAGTACCACGACCAAGAATCTCCTTAGTGTGAATATCCTGAAGCAAACAAAAACTCGGGTAAATGAGTACACAACAATTCAATTGTTCAGTAAGCTGACTAACGGACAACAATTTAGTGGATAAAGATGGAACAAGTAAAGTATTAGACAGTGTGAGAGAGGATGAGAGTGCAACAGTGCCAGCCCCTGTCACAGGATAAGTAACACCATTGGCATTTGCAATACAGGTTCGTCGAGGTTGTGTAGTATTCAGAAAATCATCAGGATCAAACGTCATATGATCAGTTGCACCGGAATCAATTATCCAACTCTTGGAATCAATCTTAGCGGAAGTATGGAATCCATAACCAGTACCATTACTGGTCGTATTGCGTTGTCCTCGATCTTTAAGAGTAGCCCACCAATCGGGATAGCCATGCAATTTAAAACAAGTCTCACGAGTGTGTCTTGGATCACCACAATATTCGCAATCTGGTCCATGTGTCGGGGTCGTTAGTCGAGAAGTCATAATCTGTGCAGCGGAAGATGTATAGGATACAGGTTTAGTAGGAATTCGGATCGGGATCTGAGCCTGAGTCGGGGTCGGAGTCGGAGTCGAAGTCGGGATCGGGGTCTGAATCAAAGACAAATTCGGGGTCGGGGTCGGGTCGGAGTCATCATCGGAGTGGGGGTCGAGGTCGTTGTCGGAGTCGGAGTCAGAGTCGAGGTCATCGTCGTCGTCATAGTCGGGGTCAGGGTCGGGGTCGTCAAAAGAGGATCCTGATTCAGGATTAGATTCGGGGCCAAAGTCTGCATCTGTAGGAGCTGAGCCATCTGGGCACTCAACTCGGCTATGGTTGGTTGAGAAGGAGAGAAGGAGTCGGTGGTGCTACCTCCATGAGGGATGAAAAAATCACCAACCCCCATAGCGGTGGCGGGGGTGTGAAACTAGAGTCAGCAATTCCAAGATCGCCGCTCTGATACCATGCTAAAATATGAAAACTATGAGAGAATATTTGTTTGTGGGAATTTTCTGTGTATTCTTCTCCTTGTAGGAGGTCATATTTATAATACAACGAAACCTGAATAGGTAAGTAAATAATAAATTCCTAAATCTATTTACAATAGGAAATCAAGAATTAAAGTAAATCAATTATAATTATAATAGGAATTCTTGGTGTGTAAGGAAAGTAAGTCAATATCCACAAGTCACGCCAACAGAAACAACCACCGTTGTTACTTGGCCGAGTTGCAGAGTTATAATGGGGCCATAGATTTGAGAAAGCTTGGTGAAATCGAGATGGGGTTTGTTTCCAAGCTCTAGGAGATTGCCAATGAAAGGAAGTGGCTTTGGTCCAGGTGGAAGAAGATGCCTTTTGGGGTTGGCTTTGCTTCTGAGGGCTTGAATTGAGAACAAGAACACAAAGAAAAGACTGGTTAGGAGGACCATACAAAAACTCAAGAAATCCATTCTCTCTCTCTCTCTCTCCTCCTCTCTCTCATCTCTCTCTCTCTCTCTCTCTCTGGTTGTAATTTCAGACAGAAACAAAGTTAAAGGAGAGCATAAACCTTTTCACCTCCGACCTCCTAAAACTAGTCTTTCTACTTGATGGCCAACTCAGAAGTGTCTATAAAATCACATTTTAGTGTTTATTTATAGAAACACCTACCAACCGGGTCAGAAAGTGTCTTGTTATATTTTTGTCAAGTTCCACTCGGTTCTATAGGAATTATTGTTTGCTGTTAGTCACGTGTCAACAAGGCATTGGATAATTGCCTCAACTAGTGTGAATTAGGTAGCTATTTTAATTTAATTTTTGTTTGTCGATTAATTAGGCAGCTATTTGTTGTATATAAAGGCCAATGCAATCACTAACAATGAGATTAATTCAATTGGCCACTCAGATTGTACCATTTCGTCGTGGCCAAACAACGACACTACTCCTCTTGGAATTTGGAGGGACTAGTAGCCTCGTCTTTTCTATGTATAAGCCTACTGTAAATAAATAATAATAATAATAATAATAATTTTAAAATAATAAAAAATCGATGAATTTATTCCAATAAAAAAAGGTCTTGATTTGCTTCAGATCGCTAGGTTAGTGACGGTTTGTATAAGCCCATAGAACCAAGAGTTTGTTTCATTTTGGGGGTTTGTTCTTCAGGACCCAAAAACAGGTTAACCCGGTTGGAATTCTTGGGCTTCATGCTTTGAAGAAACAAGAGTGTATCATTACTAATTGGGCTGTTCCTTTTGAAAATTGCCTGAGAAGCTTGTTCCTCTCATCTGGAACATTGACCAGGTTTGCAAAGTTTGGGGAAAGCTTGCTAATATATCTACTCAAACAGCTTCCAGTGGAAGCTAGATTTCCCATGACAGTGATCAATGAGGTCCAGACCATAACCAGCCAGTTCATTCCCCAAAAACTCCGAGACAAAATCCTTGCCACAATTGGAGGCCTTTTGGGTAATCTTCCCAACTCTCAAATGACCCTTATCATTGATGAACACAGTGGCCTCTCTGTCAATGAGATTTACCAGGCCTCAGAAATCTACTTAAGCGCAAGGATCACCCCTTCAATTGAACAGCTTAAGGTTTCCAAGGCTCCAAGCCAGAACAACTTCTCTGTTACCATCAACAGAGGCAAAAAGCTTATCGATGAATTCGAAGGAATCAAGTTGAGATGGGAATTCTGTTGTACTGAAACCAAGAGCACACATCACGACTATGAAGACTATTCAGCTCAGCTTCCATAAGACATACAGAGAGAAGGTGTTGCGCACTTATCTGCCATATGTTGTAGACAGGTCAAACGCCATACAAGAAGAAATATAAGGGGTTAAGCTTCATGCTCTGGGGAACTTTAATGAAGAGTATAATGCAGGTCCCTGGGGATCAGTCATCTTTGATCATCCATCTACTTTTGACACATTGGCAATGGATCCAAAGCTTAAGGAGGAGTTGATTGATGACTTGGACAGGTTCGTGAGGCGAAAAGATGTCAAAAGCTCAACAAGAGTACTTGTTGTATGGCCCTCCTGGTACAGGGAAGTCTAGCTTGATTGCAGCCTTGGCTAATTACCTCAAGTTTGACATGTATGACTTGGAGCTTACGCATCTGGGTAGCAACTCCGAGCTCAGGAGGCTGTTAGTCTCCACGGCAAACCGATCAATACTGGTAATTGAGGATATTGATTGTAGCATCGAATTGAAGGACAGAGAATTTGGAGGAGGCAACCCCAATGACAGCCAGATGAGGACCAAGAGCAACAAGTTTTTCATGCAAGTAATTTCTCACTGTGAATTTATATTAATTAAGCTCTCCTTTTTACAGTTAACTCTATCTGGGTTGCTGAATTTCATTGATGGGTTATGGTCAAGCTGTGGAGATGAGAGGATAATCGTGTGTACAACCAACTACAAGGACAAACTAGATCCTGCATTGTTGAGACCAGGCCGCATGGATATGCACATTCACATGTCCTACTGCACACCAGGGGGATTCAAGATCCTTGCTTCAAACTACCTCAGAATAAAAAAACACTGTTTCTTTGACGAAATTAAAGCATCCATTAGGGAGGTGGAGGTGACTCCCGCAGAGATTGCGGAAGAACTCATGAAAAGTGAAGACACCAATACGGTGCTTGGAGGACTTGTTGCATTCCTCAAGAACAAGAAAAAGATGGACTGTAATGCAGGAGTCAATGTTGAAGAAGCAAAAGAAGTCAATGAACAAGAGAAATAATGCCTGGAAAACAAGGAGCTAATATATAGAGAAATGAAAAATAATCTCCACCTTCAGTTGAATAACTTGAGAAATTCCCTTTCCGTCAAATAATTTATGTTCCGATTTCGTGAAAATATATTGCAGACTACAACTTTTCCGTATCTTTCGTATGGTCTCAGTCCCTATGAGCACTCGTATGAACAACCAAGCAAGTATGACAAAAATAGTAGAAGAGCTTTATACTAAAACTAACCACTTGAATTATGATAAACATAATACATGTATTCCTACCTGAAAGAGAAAAGTAAACCAAAATCCATAGATTACAGGGGCCTGTACATTCTGCTCTTTGAGAAAAGAGAATAAAAAAGAATAACTAGGAATGCCCATAAGAAGGGAACAAAGGAAATGAAAAGATGATACAACAGAAATTTACAGCACCGTGGGACTTAACACTGGTAAACAGAATAGCTCTTGCTCTTCCACAAAAACCTAAAAGGTTTGCTCATCTTTCTTCTTGAGACGGATTTGCACAGTGGCTTTGATTCTGGAACAGACATTGGCTTGTCACTATTTTCAACAGACAAATGCACCTCCGCCTCTGCAGGTGGTTGGTCTCTCTGTCTCTGCTCACGGAATAGCATTAAAAGCTTTTGAGCCTTCTCTTTTCCTCTTGATGTACCATTCACAGAAATCGACACCAATGCAGGTATCACCCCTTCCTTTAGGACCATCTGACTGCATTTATCATTCCCATTACACAACAAAAAGAGACATGAGACAGCTTGCTCCTGCTCAATGGGTTCATCAGCCTCCAAAATTGTTGCTAGCGCACTGATAAGACCCGAATTTGATATCATTTCATCTCTTGCAGAGCTACTTGAAGCCAAATTTATCAAAACAGCTGTACATTTTTCTGTCCATGTAGGGTCACCAGAGTTCGCAAGAAGGGTTTGGAGACCACTGATAATACCAGCTGAAAGTAGATTTGGAATATTTGATGGAATGCCAGAAAGATTGTATAGGGCATGGAGGGCATCCAGCTTGCATTGTATTTCAACATTAGCTTGAAGGAGCTGGGTTAAGAAAGGGAGAGCAGGGCTTGTGCCAACTATGTGCTTGGCTTCTTCAAGGCAGGAGAGATTCAGATAGAGGGCTGTCGCAGGTCCATGAGAACTGGGATTGGAGATCATTTCCTCTAGCAATGAAATTACTCCTGATGCTAACATCGTTTCTTTGTTTCTGGAGGAAAAAAAAAAAGAATCGATAAATTTCCAAGTTTTTAGTCCAAGAATAAGAGCTGAGAGACAACACATTATCCTCTCGACCCATGATGCAATGGAAATATCAACACATAAAAATTAATCGCTATGTTGCACCCATTTCCCAGAAAATTTCTTAACATTAGCGAGCCATATTTTGATGCTTAATAGACCTCTGACCTTTTTCAGACATTTAGCAGACCACATAATCGCAATTTAATTCAAAATTAAAATATTATCAAACAAAGCCTGTGGTCATATCTGATTCTTATAAAATCTGGAAATTTTATTGAACTATACCTGTTATTATTGACAGCAAGATTGAAGAGAGCCATGGCTCCACTTTCCTGAGCTAAAACATTTGCTTCACGCACTGCTGATTTCAGAAAGCATAGAAGTGCTTCAACAAACCCATTAGCACCCATATACATCCTGGCCTCCTCATCATCCTTCAGCAAGAACCTTAATTGCTCCACGACCTTGCACTTCTTCCTGAAGTCTGCACCTTCATTTAAGACAGTTAAAAGACCCTGATAACTTTCAAAAGAATCAAGCTCAGACTCTTCCTCCACCGGAGACACGTCTTCTGTTTCATTCCCAACAGCTTCATCTATTGTGGCACTCTCCTCTAAAGGAACCACCTTGACACCTTTCAACTTGCAATAGCCAACGCTACCCATAGATTTTGAATTAGTGGACTCAGACTCAGACAACGCAAGCCTCCAATAGTTGAGGTCAAGAGACTCCGGGGGACCATCAGGAACAGAAATTCCATTCTGTTCGCACCAACTAGCAATGAGACCTTTGACACAGTAATTGGGAGTTAAAGAAAGATGAGACAGCTTCTGTTGAGTCTTTGGGCAGGTATTATGCCCATCGCTGAACCATTTCTCAATGCAAATCCTTTCATAGGTCTGACCAGAAGCAATGATGACCGGATCATACATAAGCTGCAGTGATATAGGACACCTCAACTCTTCAGGTGGAAGAGGCATCTGACCTGACCTCCGATTGTTTGGCTTGGAATTAAAAGAACTCTTGAAATTAAAAGAACTAAGTTTTGACAACTGTCGGTCAAATGCATGACCATTGCCCCCAGGCGCAGCATCCTCAATTGAACCCTGAATAGTGGGAGAACAAGGTGCAGAACCCTGTGAATCATTGTCATCTGAGATTTCACTTCTAAACAACTTGGAGTATTTTCTCATAAGATGTAATAGATAAGCCACAATTGATTCTTTCCGCTTGTCTTCCTCAGCACGGGCTCTTTGGATGAGTTTCTTTAGAGCTCTTCTCTCAGTAAGAGCTGCCCTTGAAGAGGTAATACCAAGTTTGATAGCAGCCTGATGAAAAGATTCCAGCTCATTATTGTCATTACAGTTGTCAAACTTTCTCCCTTGTTGGAGGAGTGCAATTATTTCATCACCAACTTGCTTCTCTGACGGATCAAGTGAGAAGACAGTACCCTCAAGTTCACTAACAATCTCTTCAATCTGAAACAAGTTCAACACTAAATGATGTTAAGAACACATATAAGTGACATACAGAAGAGTAATAGCAAGAGAAAACCACAAGACACGATCACCAAGGAATTATAGCATCACCAGTTAATTTCAAACAATTTCTATTAAGAAAACATAAAGTTATATGGAAATAAAGATGCCTTGTATTGCAAAGCAGCAAATTAACATATATAGGCAAGCACCAGGACCAGTAAATGGGTTATACAATTGTGCAGCACTAAACCAGTTCGCCCAAGATAACAAAAGGCTGGACATGACCAAGTTTCATTGTAGGGAACCACATGCAATCAGATTATACTTCAACCTCTAGTAGGTCATGAACAGATGAACCATGAGGTCCATGACAACCAACACAGGAAAATAGTGAATAACCATATAAGAACCACACTGAATCATAGAGAAAGCTTCCAGTAAATTCCTAGGTTAGAATATGGGGGAGAAACAAACCACATTAATAATACCCCAACCCTTTGGTGGACCATTAGGATTCATGGTAACTTTCTACTGAAAATTACTAGGCAGATTTTCAGTAATCAAAGTAAATTTCCTATTATGCATTTCAAAAATGAGGCAGTTTGGAGTTTAAGACTTTGTTAAAAGGTCAGAACCCAGAAAAGCGATTCATGGACCTCAAACGCCAAGTCATGATATTCCAAGACCCTATCAAGTTGACTCAACAATCACAACTAGATGTATAAGTATAACGGTAACTCTGTGCTTGCGTCTACTCGCTAAGAGCAAAGTTGTGGAAACTATCTTCACCAGGGCATGCACAATAATGAAATATGATATAAAAAGCATTCAACTGAAATTACCACTGATCACCTCAAAAAATAATTACCTGACTACCAATAGATTGTGGAACAATATCTTCAACACGCCTAAGACTATCCATGAGAGCACATCTTGCCTTCTCAAATTTCGAGAGCACAGAATCCCCAGTTATAGCCTGAATGATAAAAAGTAAGTTCTCCATTATACACACAATATACTAATTCACAACCTCATCAAGAATGGAAACAAATTTAGACAACAAACGAGAAATATATTCCTCTATGGTAGAAGGGGAAAGTCTACTTGACATTTCTGGGGATGGGAGTAACAATTATAAATTACCAACGCAATATTGAGGAAAAACCTACCAAGTAAAGTTTACTACATTCGGAGCAATGCTGAAGAACGTTCTTAGCCTTTTCAAGTGCTACATGCAATGAACATAAAGCTTGGATGCCCGATTTGCTCCTAGGTCGAGCTGCTTCCAAAGAAGGAAAAATTGACATTACTCTGCAATAAATCGCAGAGAGTTCCTTGCACAGTTCTCCATGCAACTGCAGAAGGAAACAAAGGTGATCAATTATATACACTGATACAACCATATGACAGAATACAGACTTTCAAAAAGTTATAAATGGAGGATCCATGCTGGTAAATTTTCCAAAAAGAATATGCAAGCCAGCTTCAAAAAGAATATACACAACTACCTATATGTATATAAACACAACCAAATTCTCACCAAAACCTTGTACTCTCACGATGACTTCAAACTTCTCTGATTCCAAATTTTTACCAATCTTATAACCAAATAAATAAGTTTGATAGATGCAACTACACCCTCCCAAGGAATGGCATAGACCCGGAGTATATGTAAGAAAAACCCATAAACTAAAATAACTGTCTTAAGTTACCTAACAATTCCTAACTAGCATTACCTATATAGTCCAGGAACTTGGGGGATTAACAGTTCACACACGTAATTTCAGGAAACACATAGGAAGTCAGCAAATATAAATGTTGAAAAAATCAAAGTTATGTTGAGTTTGAAATATTTTGCAACCAAAAAAAAAAATAATAAAACAATACCAGTCATTAAATGTATTGCCACCCATATCTCATTCATACCTTGGCATCGCTGGCAGCAAATAAGCTTTCTTCAACCTCAGAAAGATCCATGATTCAAGCTCACTTTGATAACTATGATGAAAGCTTATACATCTGCATTGCCGAAAAAGACAGTAAAACAGAATCAGCAAAGGCATAAAGGAAGCTTCTCAGTAAATGTCTAGAGCATTAAACATAAATAAGCCAAAATTCTACAACTAAGTTTAATTTTGGCTGCATCGACTAAATAGGCATGGCAGTGAAAATAACACAGTACACTGTTGGATTTCTTTGGAAACTGAGGATTAAACGAAAACAGAAATAAGCATAAGCCTCTAACTTGTACTTCATTTTTCCAGGTTTTCAATGATTGAGTGAAAAATCAAAAAGTGGCAATAGAGAAGAAGCCTCCACTGAGGCAATTAATTGTAATATCCCCACTCATTCATTCCTTGGGATTGGAATATTTATTAAGTAAATCCCATATTTGGAACACTCACTTTCTCAGAAACCAAACAGAGGATTGGAAATTTGACAAGAAAAAACGAGGATAAGGCCTTAAACAAACAAAATGGAAAAACCCAAAAAGAAGACTGCGGAGTTGATTCAGACAATATAGTATCTTCAGAAGAATGAAAAATATTTTCAAAAAACAAAATCAAAAAGAAAAAACAAATTGATTTAGACATTTCATTCCATGGCCAAAGATACAAAATCTGAGAGAAGAATGTTGATTAGCAAAACACACAGATTGATTGAGACATTTCACCCATTTCGCAAAAACTCCAACTTTCAGACAAGACCCCAAATAAAAGAGGCATAGCAAAATCGAAAATGACCTGCCCGGAAATCAACATGGCCAATCAAATTTCCAAACCCCCGCGCACAGAGATAAGAAATGTGAGAACCCCGCAATTATAGAAGCGAGTAAGCTCTAAAAATGAAGCCACAGCCACAACGCGCCAATTGCTTACTATTCAGATGCGGAACAGAAGCACACAAAACACGGAATTTCGGATGACAAATTGGAAATTTACAGCTCAATGTGCCTAAAAAAAACACCAAGTCTTTGACGGGAGATAAGCAGCTAGGGTTTGGAGCTGGGTGCGTACCAAAAAACCAAAACGAAACGAACTAAGGAGGCTTCATAAAAGAACATTTAGGATATTCCCAGCAACCAAACAGAAAATTAGGGTTTCTCCGATGATCTGTACATTCCCATTTCATTACACTTAGGCCTGTGGATTCAAATAGAGAAACCGAATTTCTCGGAGTTCTTCGGGAGGGAGATATATTGGATTTTTGGTTATTCTGAGCGGGTGGGCGTAAATAGTAGGGAGTATTGGAAATAATTGAAAAAATAAACTAATTCGAGACTTTGGAGAGTTTTGGGAGATATGTTTCTATTATTTTATTTTATTTTTCGGATTTTTTATTTTTTTTATTTTTTAAAAAAATTTAATTGTTAATGTCTGTATTTTTATTTTATTTTTCGCCGCTTTTGTCTCCCTGGTTCACCGGCCGACAGTTGCCGACCTCCTCGTTTGTCGGTTTGCAGATCTGTCATAAATGTGCGCGAATGACGAAATTGCCATGTCGATTGAAAATTCTGGTGGAGTAGAGTGACTTTGCACTGCACTAGCACTCACTCCTCTCGGGTATTATTGGTTCCTAATTTCGTATTGCATTTCTATGACATTCCAATAACATTTATATTAATATTATGCATATATTTTGTGACCAAAGTTAGTTACATCCTTTTATAATCTAATCCATTGCCACATATCATATCAATACTTTAATTAAAGCAATATACGCATACATGCAATAACATATTTTTTTAGAGCCTCAATTATATTTTTCTTCTAATGTATACGTCTTTAAATTTTTCGTCTTAAAGACAAAAATAAGTCGGCACGCTACTTTACTTACTTAGATTTGATTCTCTACCATACATCTACCTTTTGAGGCATGTTGTCAAACACCTTACCTTGTAGCTAGCAACCATATTCAAGGAGACCATTAAAGGAGTATTGGGCAATTTCATGTGCAGTAATAATAGAAAGTGGGGCAATTATATGCACCGGCAAATTTATGATCATGTACTTTTCACAATCAAATATACGATAGTAGTATCTTTTTCATATAATAACACAAATTTATTTGTGCATGACCTTTTTTAATTAATGAGAAACAAGATATTCAAACTTATGACCTCTCTCGATCTTGACAGGATAACTTATTGATTGTGCAAATTTTGAAATTACTTATTATTTCTCTTACTCACAAAGTATTGTATCTAACCAACTAATGAAAATTCACATGTCTTTCATTCATCAGACTTTTTTTAAGGAAGAAGAAGAAGGAAAAACAAAAAAAAAGGTATGCTATTGCATTATATCATGGCTAATGACAACTACCAAGAATGACATTTTCTTTGTTATTTCTTTTTCTTTTGGAAAAGTGTAGGAAGGAATAACCACATTAGTATTAGATTGACTATGTCACTTCCAAAAGTTGTGAATTATGTATATGGTCCCTCGAATTCCAAAAATATAAAAAATATAAAATGATAATAATTACTAGGATCACTATAATCTTTATATCTTGAAATTTAAAATGATAATTTTTTAATACAAGTGATAGTCTAAACTATAAGAAAAAATATTTCTCACACACAATACGAAAGTGTCATGAATGTTCGAACCTTATACCACTCATTTGCAAGTGAATAAATTTTTTCCAATTCATTGGCCAAATGACATTTGTTTTTAGTTCTTCGAGATTGACATGTATAATATAAATATAACAATAACCTACTAAATTAGGGGTGGGGAAAATGAGTAAACGAGAAGGGTAGTTACGTTAATCCATATTCAAACTGATTCCATTTGCAGCGGATGTCTCCAAGCGGGGGTAGGGGAACAGAAATCCTCAATTCTGTGTGATTATAAAAACGTTGGCTCAGCATCGCTCCACGTGGTGCTGTTTTTCACCACCCATTTTAACAGTCTCCTCCTCCACTCTGTTTTACACCTTTGCGTAGATCCATAGATCACGGATTCAGCTGTTGTCGTTCCCCCAAACCGGTGCTTAAAATGCATTAACTAGAGGATGCGATTGGTTAAAATGTTAAAATTTACCGCGCTTTCATCATATGAACTTACCATGTATAGTCTACAGAATTATCAATATTTGAAATGTACCCAGTTTTAAAAAATACTAATTTATTTCTCTCCAGATAGTTTCGTAATCGAAATATGTAATCGATTTTTAAAATCAATTTTGATTTTTGATTATATAGTTTTATAGCTTACGTGATTAAGAGCAATTATCTTTACACCTCAGATTCCAAGTTCGATTTCCACTCTCTAAATATTGGTTATATATTAAAAAAAATAAAAAAAGATAAGGGAAGAAAAATTAGAGGATGTCACGTTTTCATGTCAACATCAATATGACACTTTTAGAACCTTTTCTCTCAAAATCTCACTATCTTAGAAGTCAAACTCATTGATTTTGTGATACGAAAACCAATTAGAAAATCACACCAATCTAGACCTACTGTTCTCTTGATCACCTTAACCCATTTAATATATATATATATATATATATATTTATACAAGCATAAAGAAGCAGGGGAATAAGAAGAAAGGTTTGTTCATAATTATATATTATACGTATATATTAACCAATTAAAAACATAAATTAGTATACAAAGATCTTCAAAAGGAGCAACGAATTCCTTGTAATACCGCATTAGTATATATATATATACATGTTGAAAAATTAGTGCAATGATCTATTTATTTTCTCTATATGTATTTATAAATATAAGTATATATAAATAAATAAAAACAAAATATCTTGTTTCATGGCGATGAAAAACTTACGTGGGAAGTACTTACAGGTACCTCATGTCAGTGATTTGCGCAAATTACACGTGGCGACAATTTGCATGACAATAATTATAGTTATGCGCAATTTCTGCTCATGGCAGAACGCTAGTAGTCGCATGGCTTGATTTTTCAGGGAAAATCCAAAGTTTTGAATTTTTGGACGGTTGGAAGCAACTTGTCCAGATTCGTCACAGTCAGTTGGGCATCATGTAATGCCAAAAGGGTTCATATAATTATGCCCAGTTTGAAACCACTGCATGTGCATGTTTAATATATCGTCCATTTCTGTGCAGATCCAACCTTAGTCAATGGAGGTGTAGACTCGGAGTAAATAATTACGGAATAAAAATAAAATTTATGACCATAGATGTATGAGTAAATATTTTTACTGAATGCCTAACGAGAGTTGGTTGAGTTGGTAAGAATCATTTTCTTCACTATCCGGCCCAAATTTGAGTTTCGTTGATGACAATTCTTTTTTATGGGTAATTTGTAAAAACAAAAAGAAGGGATAAAACTCCCTCTATAAGTCCTTAAAGAGGTCTTAATATGTCATGGACCTAAGATGAGATAACCTTCCCTCCACCTAAACTTTGATTGATTAAAAAATAATAATTTTTAATCAATTAAACTACAAATTCATAGTGTGTGTGTCATTTTTAGGATCAAACATGGTATCACTGGAGTTGGGCAACACTCAAAATTAAAAAAGAAAAGAGGTCAGTTGAAGAATCGTGTTGGGAATTTATGTTGTTTACCTGCTAATTAATGATATCTCTAATGAGAGTTGTTTATCAGATATTATGACACCTATTAAGATTTGAACCTCTTCTTAGTCACATAATCTCAGTCAAATGCAACTTAAATTAGACGTGCCAAGCAATTGTCCAATTGCCAATAAAAACAAGAATAAACCTTTTTTTTGAGGTGAGCTGAATATTTCAATAGCAGAAAATATATTTTTATAAAGAAAATGGAGGAAAATACTGAAGAATTATAAGTCAAATAAGGCAGAAGAAGGTTGGTGCAAAATGGACCAAGCGATCAAAGAGGTGGGGCCAAAACTGTTGTGCAATGACGACGACCCAAGCTGAAAGCCTAAAACCCATGCCCTTGCTTCCGGGGATGTGAATGAATAGCAACAAAAATGTCGCATCTCCAAAGTCAAATTCA